GTTTTGAATAACCAAAACGTTTATAAAACCGAAATAAGCATCAGGTTCTTTTTATATTTCACACATACAAATATTTTTGCTAGCACAAGATCTGTTGTGAAGGTGAGACATATCGGTCCTCTCCTTCTGGTACCTCCCCCACAAAGGCTCAAAATTTTGAATATCCATGAAGCTCATAAAAAGCGAAATCAACATCCGATTCCATTCTAGACTTGGTACATCTCAATATTTTTATCAAAACAAGATCTGTTATAAAGATGGCACATAGGGTTTAAGAGTTTGAATAATCATAACAGAATTCAAAATATTTTAAAAAAATCGAACATTGGCTGAGTGTATACATCTGTCGGCAAAACCGGCCGATACCTTTTTACTTGTTATACCCACCACCATACTATGGAGGATATATTAATTTTGTCATTCCGTTTGTAACTCCTCGAAATATTCATGTCAGACCCAACAACGTATAAATATTCTTGATCAGCGTAAAATTCTAAGACGATATAGCCATGTCCGTCGTTCTGTCTTTCCGTCTGTCTGTAGTAATCACGCTATCTTTCGAACGAATTGAGAAAGAAGTCTAAAATTTTGCACACATGTTTATTTTGCCAGTAGGCAGGTTAAGTTTGTAAATGGGCCACGTTTTCGTATAGCCCCCATATAACGGTACCTTCCGATATTCGGTATTTTGATGATTTTAGCGGTATTATTCACCGGAATTGTTTGAAATTTGGTGTTTGAAGTTGGTAATGAATACTACAGCCTAAGGCAGAAATTTGTCTATGCAGGTCCACGTCTTCGTATGGCCCCCATATAACGGTACCTCCCAATATTCGGTATTGTGATGATTTTAGCGTCATTATTCACCGGAGTAGTTTCAAATTACACATTTAAAGTTCGTAATGGGAACTACAGTCTGTGACAGAAAATTGTCTATAGGCCCCATATATCAGTACCTCACTATATTCGGTATTTTAACGATTTTAGGTATAATACTCACCGAAATTGTTTGAGGTGTCGTATTTGAAGTTAGTAAGCCAGCTACAGACTGTGACAGAAAATTTTTTATACAGGTGACAGAAAATTTTTTATACAGGTCCAGGTCTTCGTATAGCACCGATATACCGGTACCTCTCTATATACGGAATTTTCGATTTAAGCTACATTATTCACCGTTTATTTTAAATTTAGAATTTGAATATGGTAATGGCTTATGACAAACAATGCCTATGTAGGTCCAGTCGTACAGGCCCTAATATAACGGCTATATTCGGTATTTTTAAGATGTTAACAGAATTTTTTTGGCGAATGTTATCTTTTTCGAAACTTTCCAAATCCGTTCCAAATGGCGGAGGGTATTCAAAGTTCGGTCCGGCCGAACTTACTGTTTTTTACTTGTTTTTAGCTTAAAATCCTTTCTTTTAGTAGACCTAACCTACCTGATTAGAGAAGCAATTGATATAGGTGATAGTTGTGTTCTTGGGCTTAAGTTGAGTTTAGGGGTTATGCTCGGATTTTTACCGATTTTTTTTAACTTGATTACGGCGAAGTAATTTTTTTGTGAGGGAAATACCCAAATTTATCCTATCCAACAAGTGGTCATATGAGTTACTGGAACCGGTGCCGGAGTAATACAAGAAAATTTTTATTTTTGTACCAGTACTTTTTGAAAAACCCCAAACACTGGAAAATTGTCCCTTATACTGTATTAAAATCTACATACTATATTAAAGCCAACACTATTGCCATACATGTTGATATATCTTGTACTTCCGAAGATATGGGTTTTATATTCATTACTTATGAAAGCAGTTTTGAGTGAAGTCCAGCGAATTCGGTGTTGACTTAAAACTACGTTAGATAGAAAGGGAATCAAGATACAAAGAATTTCTACGCATGTAGGTGGAAAGGGATTACCTGAAAAATACCGCTAAAAATTGGCTAGTTATACCCTCCACCTTGGAATGGAGGGTATATTAACTTTGTCATTCCCTAAATATTCGTCATTGACCCGATAAAGTATATATATTCATAATCAGCATAAAATTCTAAGTCGATTCAACGATGTCCGTCTGTTTATCTGTTGAAATCACGATACAGCCCACATTATTTGACGTAGAGCGTCGTTTTGATGATTTTTGTCACATTTTTCCACGGATTTGTGTCTACGTTTTGGTATAGCCCCCATATAACAGACCCTCTCAATATTCGGTATTTTGATGATTTTTGAAACATTTTTCCACGGATTTGTCTAAAAATTGGTATTGGTGTGTCATAATGGTTTCTAGCTCGTGTATCCGATATTCGGTATTTTGATGATTTTTGCAAAATTTTTCACGGATTTGTTTAAAAATTGGTATTTGTTGGTCAGAATGGGTTCTAGCTCCGGTGGCGAAAAATTGTATGCATAGGTCCAAATTTTTGTTGTAGCCCTCATATAACGGTACCTGCCGACATTCGATATGTTGATTATTTTTGTCACATTTTTTTCACGAATTTGTCTAAAAATTGGTATATGTAGTTCATAGTGGGTTCTAGCCCGGTGGCAGAGCATTGAAAGTATGTAAGACCCGGCTGTGTAATTATTTTTGAAGGTAAGATTATATAATATTTTGACATTTTTTTATTAGAATAAATATTATCTTTTTAGTGGGCTTATAACACCTTGTATGAAAAGGGGTATACCCATCACAAAGTCAACCATTCTGAGCATTTTGTGGATCCCGAAACGGCGCATCACACCAATACTATAGAGGATTTGTGACGTCACCTCAAGGTGGCACTTTCTGCATATAACCGTAAAAAATATTTTTTAACGGTTATATTGTTTTTTTTTTGTTTTTGTTATTCTTTTTTGTTATATAGAATTTGCAATTTAGTATTAAGAATTAAAAGTGAATTAAAAAAAATATTTTAATTAGAATAGAGAATGTTTTATATATAAAAGTTCAGAAAATTATGGATTACGTAGCCGGTGTTGGGCATACGCTAGAGGAGAAAACCTAAAGCCCCGGCCGAAGGTTATCTACTTACAAAAATTACAATATTTAGAAAAAAATATTGATCGCGTACCCGGTATTGGACATACTCAAGAGGATTAAGTCCCAAGCCCCGGCCGAAGGTCGCCTGCTTAAAAACGCTGTAAAGGTTAAATACATATTACTGGACAAAATCGCAAATTAATAACTTCTATCACTTATATTTTCGGAACCACAAGAGATATCAACACGTATGACACAATTTTGGAAAGGCAATAGTGTTGGCTATATATGCAGATTTTAATACTCTATAGTGGTTTCATTTTCGAGTTTTTAGGGGTTTTTAAAAAAAGTACTGGTACAAAAATACCAATTTTCGATCATTACTCCGGAACCGGTTCCAGTAACCCCATCATATGCCAACTTGTTAGGATGGGTATTTTCATAAGTTTTTTCATAATACCAATATTTTTAGATATTGGTTACGTAGAACTGGATAAAAACCTGATGTTGTTTCCGAACTTTCGGCTCGATAACCGTGTAACCGGGGCTTTCCCGCACAAAAAAAGTTACTTTGCCGTAATCAGGTTAAAAATACCTACCTGTGGTAAAAATTGCAGGTCAATCCGATCATAGCTTCTAAATTCAACTTGCTCCTTTTGTTTCATATGTCAATGACATTGGAAGTTTTTTGCAAGCGGACGACATTCATTTATTTTTTAATGTACAATCTGAGAGATTAGTTATAGAAAAACATAAATACAATCTTATGTTATATTTTACGTTGGTTGAGTAATAATTATCTTGTAGCAAATGTTTCTAAGACAAAGGCAATGTTTTTTTTGGTCAATCTTGCCGACTGGATAGCAGTGTACATACATACATGTTAATGGTTTAGCAGATGATTTTGTTATTTGTATAAATTGTTTAGATGTTAACCCAGATTTTCCCGTGGCATGATTATGCATTACACCCCAAAATAAAAATATGCTCCAAAAATCATACTCAACTTATTTCTAGTTGCCTTTTTTGTGAAGGGAAATCTTTCCTATTTCCTATTGTTTTGATGTTATTTCAGATACAACACATAAGTATTTTATGAAAATAGAAAAATTTTTGACTATGATTGTGAGACTTAAGGCATGTTTACGTTAGAGCTTTTTTCCGGGTTAACCTTGGTTATGAAGATTTATTTGAGGTATATTTCTGCATATGTCGTCCATTTTCTGGGAGTGCCAATCTCTACTTTTGTTAAACAACGTGTGTTTTCATTTCTATATAAATCAATTTGTTGAGACCTTCCAGTTTTCCGGCGAAATTTGTATGTCCCTTACTTTTAAACACTAAAATGTTTGTTTGGAGCATTTGTTTTTGTTAGGATTGATCCTTCAGCAGCGAAATTGTGTACAACTCAAAAGCCAGTAACTTCAAATTTACTAATAAAAAATGCAAAATAAATAAACAAAACAACTTTGTTTATTTAACACTTTTTTAAAATATTTTAATTTTTCGATAAAATTGAGCTTATAATGTGACTAAGTTTTTCTTTCATACCAAATCTCAAACATTTATTTAGAAGTTAACATTTTTGGTGTTATAACAATCACGGAAGTACTTTTCGCGACAGTTATTGGTAGTAGTTTTATTTTTTATATATTTTTATAGTTACGCTAGACTACTTAGCTGTTTTGTTTTTTTAATGTTATGTCTGGCTGGAGAATCGAACCCGGGGTTCAGAAAGCAAAGAGTTGCATATTTATTTTATTTATTTTGGTAGCGGTAAATAACATTGTTTACTGAAGGATGAGTTAGGGAAGCCTATAGTTTTTTAATCCTTTATCGTAGTTGTTTGTCTGGGGACATTGTAAGCATTTTAGAAAAGGAATTCATATTTTTGTATATCTTCTTTTGTTTTTTACAAATTTGATGGATTTGTAAACTTGAAATTAAATAGCCCTTGATCGAGTTTTTGACACTGTTGAGTACGATAACTTACTGCGTTCCATAAAAAAGATTTAAATCCTCATGAGTTGAAAAATAATTTATTTATTAGTAGTTTTGAATTTGATATTTTTCTAATAATTGTTCTTAATCAAAATAGTTTATAATTTAGAAATGATGCACATCAACAAAACAGAACTGAATTTATAACATTTATTGTTAATTGTACAAACTAAAACGAAAGAACAAAAGAAATTAAAAACATAAAAACAAAAGCACAAAATGTGTGACAAACATCAAAAGATTTTACATAAAATCACAATTACATCTCTTAGTTTGGATGTTTGTCTTTAGAATCGGTTGGAGACATTGATTGTAAAGGAGTTTTCATAAATATTAAACTAGATACATGCAGTTATATTAAAATAAAGACTATACTAGTAACATTCATCATCACATTCGCCGGTTTCGTGTCCGAAAACTGAAATAAATTTAAAATAGCTTTTAGTTTAGAAATATGTGATTGGAGGGCAAAACACGTACCTTCGCATGATTCGCAATACTTTCTTGGTTCAGGCAATTTTCTTTCTTTCGGCTCATTGTTGTTTCTCTCTGCCCTTGGTGGAGGTGTGTAGGGCCTATCATCAGAAGCCTGTAGCGGACAGTCTTCGGTTTCATGTTTGTCAAATTCATCGCAAATATCACAAAATACACGGGGCGCGGGTTTACGCTTGGCTATCAGGTCGAATGCATGTGGTCTATAAGTATAATAGTAAAGATAATTTTCAAGTTAAGAGTGAATTATAGTCTTTGGGAAATTAACAGAAGCTCCTTAGATATTATTAACCAGTTTTGTTGTTAAATATATTTGGTATTGGCTAAAAATTAATTAAAATTATTTTTAGTCGATTATGTCAAGTCAGATTGCCTGCTTGACTGGTCCGGAAAATAATTTTCGAAGCGAGTAGCCGATTTTGCTATAGCTCTAATCGTTGCAATATATAAATAAAATGATTACAATATTATGTTCGATGATATAGCTATCTTCATCACAATTCGTCACCCTAATATCCGTTCTGAGCTTGACTCCAGTGACCAATACATGTAATGTTGTGGGGTAGCGGTCAAGTGTGGAACCGTAAACGAGTACATTTAAGAATTATGTTATTCCGTCCTATGTAACAATCGGAGGGACATAATGCTGACTGAGCACATTGATAGCTCGACGCATAATGGGGTTAGATCCTCAAAAACGGAGATTAATTCAGGGAATCATTCTATCTCTTTGAAATTTTGCTCAGACAATCATATTACCATTTCGGTATGGCCCCTTATAGCGTTACGTATTTATTTTCTTTTTTGAATGTTTTGACCACATTTTTAAGCCAAATCATGTGTAATTTGACATTTAGAGTACTAAGTAGATATAATTTCTCCTTGCTAAAAAGCGTTAAGACTGCTCCGCTATTTGGTATAGAACCCATGTTACTGTACCTCCTAATTTTAGGAATTTTGAAAATATTTGAAGATATATTTTGTAATGATGGGTCCACTATTAGATATGGACCATATATAACGGCTTTCTCGAATGTTAAATATTTTAAGAATCTATCAAAATTTTGTAGGTCCTAATTTTAGGTATATTAAGGTTTTCAGAAAGAGTTTTTTACAAACGTATTATTTGATTTTTGGCTTCTAAGTTGTTGTTTTGTTCTTCTCAGTGGATAAACAGTATACAAATTGCCAATATTGTACCATCCATAACGTAGGTCTCCCAAAAAACAGAGATAAATTCAAATGAAAGCAGTTTGTTGCTCCCATTCATTTGTTTTTTACACCCTACAACATTATGTGTTGGGGGTATTATAAGTTTGATTGGGCCAAAAATTGTGTAACAGTGTAATATTGGTCTTCGACATAGGAAACTATATATGGATCTTCCTATCTCGCCGAGCTGAGTCGATCTACCTATGTATGTTCGTTCGTCCGTCTATCTATGTTAATTTGTAATCACTCTATAGGTAACTCATTCGTTTTTATATAGTTCAGATTTCCCACTAAAGAACAACTGGCTACTCTAATAGTTCCCGATGCAAAATGGGCAGGGTGGTACATATACTGAAGCCAGGCAATATTCAAATTGTTATTCATACAGACCGATATCACGTCATCACATGTCCGCTATCTACATGAGGAGGCTAGGATCTTACTAGTGCGGCGGCATAATAGTATGCATTCGATGTAATATAACCATCGCCATCCCAATCTCCATCTGGTGGATGGCAACTTCCGCGCAGGCAGAGGTACAGAGGCATAAGAGAGGCATGTGCATTAAACAGCACTCTGAAGCGGTCCTGTAGGAGATTATTATTTGATGCAATTAATCTGAATGGTGTTTTGCACGTGGCTTACATGACATCTACATCTTTTAACTGCTACATCTTTAACTTTTAACTGCCCAACCAGACCTACTCATCTAACTCGTGATACAGGCCCCAACCAATACAGCTCGCGAGATTAGAGAATAATCAGAACGAACACAGCAGTATGAGCTGCTACAACAACAACAACAAATAAATGATACAACTCGAAAATACCATTGAAACCGGTATGAACATTACCATCAACACAAAAACCAATATGATATAAATAGTTCAAACTTTATGATACATACTTGGTGTAGTCCGTTGGCAATGCTTCTAGTGCTTCAATCTTGGCCTTTAGTGTATCATTTTTCTTCTGCATATCAGCTATGATGGAGTTTAGAAAACTTATTTGAGCTGCACTGTCGCCATTTTCAGTATCCTAAAACGATTTAACACAAAACACACATGCATTACAAAATTAACACCAGATTTCCTGTAGCTTTCAAACTTACCCCCTGAACGGAACTTAATCCGCTACCATTTTGCTTCAGATTGCCAATGGACTGTAGATCACTAATGCGCTGCTTCAGAGCTACTATCTCCTTGGTCTTTTCCATTTCGGTTACTTCCAATTTTCGTTGTAAGGTGGCACATTCGGTATGGAGATTTTGTTCTCTTTCCACAGCCTTCGACTGTTCCTCCCGCAATTGGACAATTTGTGCTTGTAACTGTTGCAGTTGATCATTTTTCTCAGTTGATGTGTCATCCATTTCGTCGATTATCTTCTTATACTCTTCGAGCTGTTGTTCAAATTCCTTTTGTTGTTTCAGCTTCTCCTCCATATCCGAGTGCAGCTTCTTTAGCTCTGCATTGGCTTGTTGCAACTCATTGAGTTGAGTCGACGTTTGGAGTACATTTGTTTGTGCCTCGTTAAGTGATGTTTGAGTTTGTTGCAGTGTCAAATTGCTTGTAGCTAAATGTTCTTCCTTCTCCCGTAGTTCGTCCTGCTTTGTGCGTAGCTGTTGCTGGGTAGTGGCAAGTTCTTCTTTTAAATGGGATAATTTCTCGATGAGTTTTTCAACATTTTGATCAGATTCCATTTCGAATATTTCAAATATATGGGCGGTTTCACATTTCTCTTGTTCGAGAATTTCCAGTGCTTCGGCTAGTTGGGCGTTTGTGGCGGATATGTTTTCATTGGATGTCTTCAAAGACGCGATCATGGACTTGAGTTCTTCTATCTTTCTGTTGCTATCTTCCACAATTTTGGCCTTGTGTTCCGATTCGGAGGAGGACAGTTCCAGGGCATTGCGAAGTTTTTGCAATTCCAAGTCTAGTTCGGACTTTGTATTCGATTGCAGAATGCGCAATTGCTCCGCCTCGCTGGTAGCTTTGATAACCAGCGAATCCTTGTCTTTTAGATCTTGCGTTAGTTTCTCTATGCTCTGCAAAAGTCTTGTATTCTCCTGCTGTAAATCACTAACGGCCGAGGAGCCATCATTTTGCGCCTTCTGTAAGTTCGAATACATTTGGTCCTTTTCGATTTTAAGGGCTGCAATTTGCTTCTGCATATCACCCTCTTTGGCCTTGAAATCCAACTGTGACTTGAGCAACTCATCCTGTAGCAGCTGTATTTGTTTCTGAAGACTGGAAATTGCTTCATCCAATGTTGATTTTGATTGTTCGGAGTTTTTCAGTTGAGCCTCAAAGCTCTCAATGATAGATCTTTGTTTTGCCCCTTCCGCCTCCTTAAGTTCCCTAATTTCGGCTTGACACTTTGCCTCCAATTCCTTTTTAGCATTTTCAAAAGCTTCACTCTGTTCCTTTTTGGCGATTTCTAAGGTATTTAGTTGACTTCGAAGAGTCTCCAGTTCATGCTGCTGACTTTCTATACTTTGTTTAGCCTCTTGCAGTTGGGACTCTGCAGATAGACGCTCGTTGTTGGTCTTATCGTTGAGTTCCTGAAGTTGTTTCTGCCGCTGTGACAATTCCTCGGTAAGTTTTACGATTTCGGCATTCGATCCTGCGGATCCTTGACGTAAGGCCGCCAGATCGTTTTGCAAAGCTTTGTTTTGTTCTTCGAGACTTTCGCACTTGTTCACAAAACTATCAAGTTTGCGTTGCAGATCACCCATATCCAACTCCTGTTTGCCGCATTTTTCCTCGGCCTGTTTGAGTTGTTCGTAACGACTGAAGCTTTCTTCGGTCACATTCTTGAGTTCTTGGGTCAAGGTCTCCACTTGGCTACACATGCCATCGATTCTCTGTTGACTGGCCTGTAGTTGGCTTTCGAGTGCGGCGCGTTCTGTGCTTGACTTATCGACAAGTTCATCCAAAGCCTTTTGTTTGCTGACCAAGTCTTGCGATAGTTTCATGAGTTCTGTGTTCGAGTCTGTAGTCGATGTTCGCAGCGAAGTAAGGTCAGCCTGTAGTGATTCATTTTGTTTCACGAGTGAATCGAATTTGCTTTGCAGATTTTCTTGTTGGCGCTGTTGGTCACTCAGCAGGAGTTCCTGTTTGATGTTCTTCTCCTCCAGCTCGGTGATTTGTTGGGATTTTTTGTTGATTTCCTCTTTCGACTTGTGCAGCGACTCTTTTAGGTCGGTATAATCTTTAATGCTATTGGTAAGCTTCTGTTGTAATTCCTCAATCTGTCCCGTCAAACGGATGCGCTCCTCATTAGCTGAACTACTCAATGTGGCAATTTCATTTTGCTTCTGCTGAACTTCATCATTCAATTTCTTGACTTCGTTGTGAACCGAGGTGTTCGAAGATCTCACTGCAATAATCTCCTGCTGCAGTGTCTCATTCTGCTGGTCGAGGGCTTCGCATTTACTATTCGCACTCTCCAATTTGCGCTTGAGGTCGCCCAAATCCAGTTGTTGTTGGGCATAGCGTTCTTCACTCTTCTTTAGCTCGTCCTCCAACTCATGTTTGCGGTTTAGCACTGTTTCATGTTCGCTTTTGAGTTTCTCCAAAAGTTGTGTGGAAGTTTCCAAGGCAGTTGTTGTGGATTTAAGTTCGGATAACTTGGAAGCAATCAGTTCATCCTTTTGAATTGATTTTAAGCGCTGGTCCTCGATAGTGATGTTGGAGTTCTTTAAATCTTCTTCTAGTCTTTTATTTTGGCTTTCAATGTTGGTTATTTTGGCACTGAGTTGCTGTACGACCACCGACGACTCGCCAGCCAAAGAGGTAACTTTGTTTTGGAATTTTTCTATCTCTCCTTTCAGTTCTGTTATCTCTTGGTTTTTGGCCGCCACCACCAACTCATTGCTTTTATGAGCCTGTTCCAAATCATTTTGTAATTTTGCAATTGTTTCTTGGGCGGTTGCAAGAGAGGTCTTGATATCGGCTAGAAGGTTTTCTTTCTCAGACATTTGGCTGACATATGACTCGTTGACCGACTTTTCTTTATCGAAATCAGAAGAAAGCGTTTTTATTTGGGTCTGCAGTTGTTGATTCTCTGCTACTAATTTCTCACATTCTTGGCGTAAATCTTTCATGGTGTTCTCCAAAGCATCCATGGCAGTTTTCTTGGATTCATCCTCGGCAAGTGCTACCTTAAGCTTGTCCTCGATACTACTTTGTATTTGCGCCAGCTTCTTGAGCTCATCGGTAGCTGTCTGCAAATTTGACTCCAGTGCGATTTTAACTTCCTGTAGCGTGGCAACTTCTTGCTTCAGCTTCGTTACTTCCATTGTCTTTTCCTCAAGTTTATTCTTCTCCTCGCTGCTTCCCATTTGTTGGGCTTTAACGAGCTCATCGAGTGTTGCACACTCCGCAGTCTTGATTGACAACTCTGCATGTAACTTGGCTAATTGGGCCGAAACATCGGCCACCTGTGTATCTCGTGATTTACACTCCTCACGCAGTATGCGACATTCATCCTCCAGATGGGCACGTTCACTTTCCACACTACTTACTGAGGATTTGAGATTCTTCATTTGTTCCAGCAAATTTTGAATCTCTTGAGATTTTTCCTCAAGTTTTAGTCCAAAGTCAGTTTGAAGTTGTGCGCGTTCTTTCTCCGACTCCTCCTTGACCATAGCCAACTCTTTGCGTAGATTTTCTATGCCACATTCCGAGAGAGAGAATTTTTCCAAAGATTGATCCTTTTCCACCAGTTCCGCCTGCAGTGTCTCATTTTGCTTCTTCAGATATTGGATATTTTCCTGCAGACGTTGTATCTCGTCTTGTGTCTCTGATATTTGGGTCTCAAAAACTTTTGACTGTTCGACAAGTTTTTCGTTCAGCTGCTCATTGCTCTCGTCAGCGACGTGTTTTCCTATCCACGGAAAAAGAATTTATGAGAATGTGAAAAAGGTTTTCTATTATTAATTGGAAATTCATACCCGATGAAAGATCCTTTATTTTCGTTTCCAACTCGTGAATTTTTTCCTTGTAAACTTGTGTTTGTGCCTGTCAAATGAAATATGCGTCAGATCTGGTGACATATATGTGTGTGCATCTGAAACTGAGACTTCGTGGTACACTGATTTTCCTTAGATTATTCTTCAAGAATGATTTTCAAAATATACCTCCATACAAGTCGCTGCCATTGGCCGAAATTCAAAAAATTAAAATCAGATATTTATTGTCGAATGTGTACACTTGATCTCTTGAGGGGTTAAGCTTTTTAGAAAACATAATTATCATGGCTTCATCCTAACGGTCCACTTTGAGAATAGCATAAAAAAGAGAAAATATTTTTGGTTTCTTTTTTCAGCGAGGTCTGTGCAAAAGTGGAGTGGAAATATAACTGTTTTAAAAAATTAAATACTTTTCAAAATGCCAAATCTTGGCATAATTATTGAAAAGTAAGGTATTGAATTATTTTTAGTGCAGTTATTTGTGTGTGTAGTAGTTGTGTATAATATAGAAGATGTGCGTGATCTGAGTTGCCTTTAAGATTAATTTTGACAATAAAATTGGCATTCAGTTAAAGTTTTAGTTGTCTTTCCCTAGAATCCTCTAAAGTGATTTTTTCATGCTATTAGTAATGGTCCTAAGATTCTAAAAGTGCTAATTTAACTCTCAGATTTTGTCAGGTGTGTATGTTATGCCCAAAATACTGATGTGACTTCGGCGCAATTTTGTCAGTTTTATGGTGCTAGTAACGTTTTTCTTGTTATGTGTTGTTTGTCTTATTGCTGTAGTGTTACAGTTTTGTTCTTCAGCACATTCTATGCGGGTCATAGCGAGTACAAACAGAAATTTGAAAATAATAATTGTGAAGATAGAAGTTTATTTGTAACATCATATGTCCCACTTCAACTTTTTATAAGCCCGGAAGCTTCGGAGAATAATAAAATAATTTGGAAAAATCCTCGACCATCATCCTGTCGCTGCTATATGCCTATTAGGTACCAATTCAAAAAAGAGTCGACTCAATTATCCATTGAAGGAGAAAAGTACTTCAAAGACAAAATATACCAATTAAATCCTACAACTATTAACAGGGGAAATAAAAATTATACATTGATCATAAGTTACAGCTTACATCATCACTCAGACATCATCAGTTAAATGCTATATATGTAATGCAGGCCCAAAAGAAATTAATAACATTGAAGCCTGTTTTCTAGTCTTACAGACTAGAAATTATAAAATGTCAAATTATGTAAAACTTAGAAAAAAAATCAATTCCAAAAAAGAAAAAATCCAATTGAAATTTCGAGAAGAAATCGGCTCATTTGTAGATAAGCCAAAAGTTGGAGGCAGTGGATCTTCCAACGACGGGAATACTGCGAGAGAATTTTTCAATAATGTGAGCTTTTCTGCGGAGATAACAGGGATTGATAAAGATGTTATTGAGAGGTGTTCAATATTGTTACAAGCATTGTCTTCTGGGTACAATATTAATGTCGAAAAATTTAAGGCCTTTGCACTGAAAACTGCTAAAGAGTTAACAAATAGACATCCATTGTACATCCACCTACAGTACATAAAATTTTAATACATGCACCCGACATTATAAAATATGCCACGGCATCGATTGGGAAGTTATCGGAGGAGGCCGCGCAGTCTAGTTTCGACTAAATCATACCCGAAAACATTTTCGTGTTCCAACAAATACATATCTAATTACCCATCTTCTTCTTCTGAGCCCCCCTGAAGGCCGGCCGTTCCAAATAATTTTCAGTAAGATTACTCTTTAACACTTTAGAATGTAAACTGTCAAATAACAAAACAATCTGGTGTGGAAATGTGCCGAGAATTGGGCAAATAACTCTAATTCGGGAGGTACGTTGTAAGGCGACCATTCCCAAACATGCACCGACCATATCCATTTTGTCACATTTTTTTATTTTTATCCCATCAAGGTACCATAACCAAAGATTCATATTGATATCTGCACTGAAATTATTTTTTGCTGCTGTTCCCATATGACCTCAACCGCGATATGCGATGGTCGAATGAAAGTGACCTATTTATTAAGTATGTGGCTTCGAGATAAAGGTTAGTTGCATTTTTTAAACATTTTCTAAGAGACATTCTTTTTGAGAGAAAAAAGAGATAGAGCAGTTTGATCAAATCTGAAGAACTAAAGCCTGAACCTTTAAAATTACTGCTAACAAATCAAACAAGATATTTGGCATACTTTTTTAAATTTTAATAGACAAGATTGATCTTGATCTACATAGATTGATTGGTGGTCTACATAGATGCATGTCCGTCTTTGCCACTTTCCATATATTTTCGTTAGCAAAGTACAGATCGAATTTATTGTCCGCAGCTCAATCGTTTGGACCAAAGAAGAACCCTATTGAAATTGGCGAAAATCGGCTCAAATATGGATAAAGCTTTCATTAATAACTTCGTCCGATGGTTGAATTTTGGAACATACGATCGAATTCAATCAAGAAGCAGGTCAAATTTGATAACAATCGGTTCAGATTGTTTTAAATTTAGTTATACAAGGAAATACATATGGGAAGTATTTCCTTTTAATTTGATGTAAAAATCATGTTTGTTCGTCCTATTAGGTTAAATTTTTTATCACACGATTTAGTTCCGACTAGAACAGGGTCTTTCAATTTAGGTGAAAATCGGTTCAGATAAAGCTATAGCTCCCATATATGTGTTTCATCCGATGTGCTAAATAAGCTTTCGCAAAGTCATAATATGTACTCTTTAGCAATGGGATTTGCAGAGCAAAATATATTTAGGAGAAATTTTAGGAAAAAGGATTCAGATTAGGATATAGTTCCCATACATTAGTTACACCCAAATTAAAATTTAGAACACTCTAATTCGTCTGAATAACCTCATACAAATTTAATGAGAGTTGGATGCTAATAATAATGCGAATTGCTTTCCTTGAGCGTTTTGTTTTTCAAAATCTTGAACCCTATGTGGGGGAGGTACTACAAGAAATGGTACGATCTCTACCATCTTTATATTATATATTGTGTTGATGGAAATATTGAGATGACCAAGTCTGAATGGAATCGGATGTAAACTTCACGTTATATGGGCTTCATGGGTATTCAATATGTTTACCTGTTGTGGGGAAGGTACCAGAAGGAGTGGACCGATATATTCCATCTTCACAGCAGATCTTGTATTAGTAGACATAATGGGATGTGTGAAATATGAAGAGAACTGGATGCATTTTTCGGATTTTATGATCGTTTTGGTTATTCAAAACTTTGACCCTTTGTGTGGGAGGTTCCAGAAGGAATGGTCCGATCTCAACCATATTTATAACACATCTTGTATTGATGGAAATATTGAGAATGGAATCGGATGTTAACTTTGCGTTTTATGAGCTTCGTGGTTATTCAAAACTTGGACCCTTTGTGGGGGAGGTACCAGTAGGAATAGAACGATATATTCCATCTTCACATCACACCATGGGTTAATAAAGTGTATTGTGATGTGTGAAGACAATTGGACTTTTACATCACATTTTATAAGAGTTATAATTATTCAACATCTTTACCCTTTATGGGAAGATACTTGCTGGAATGGACGTATATTATTCATTTTCGCACCTGACCTAGCACTGATGCAAATATTAGGATTTGCAAAGTCGGAGCAAAATCGGATTATCTTTTCAATTTCTGTGCAGTAACATATTCTTTTTTAAAGTCGACCTTTTGTGGGTTGTACCAGAAAAAGTGGACCAATATTGCCCATCTCCGAACTCGATCTAAGTTTGTCAATAATATAACGACGTACCAAGTCTGAATCAAATCGGATACTCCCATCGAGAGCTATCGTGAGCACCAGCCATTAATAGTATTTTAATAAAAGTAGTACTTTTGAAAATATATATGTAAAGTGTCGAGATTTAGTATTGGAGCGGTACTGTTATAAGGGTATTAAGGGTTATAAGGGTATTACTACTATAAGGGTATTACAACCAAATAAAAAAAAACATTTTAAGAAGTATCAGTCGGTTTTGCCAACAGATGTATATCCTCAGAAATTGTTAGTTAATTTAAATATATTTTGACATCCGTGGATAGTTTAAAATGTTGAACCTCTTTTTTTCAAATAAAAATAAATAATAAAAAATTTCTATTAGGTAAATTATTTTCTGTGTAAAAGTTTACCTTTTGTGGGGTAGGTACCAGAAGCAGTGCACCGATATTGCCCGTCTCCGAACTCGATCTATGTTTGGCAATAATATTACGAGGATCAAATCGGATACTTCTTTCGACAAATGTCCTGACACAGATTTGGCCCAAAGGTACCTGGGGTCTAAAACCATTATTTCGATGAGGCAAGTTTTGGCCGTATCAAATGATATATACCGTCTGTAGCCATATGGCTTAGGGTATAAATTAAAAATAAATACTGAATATCGGGTGGCACAGGGCCTATACGGAAACCTGTACCTGTATAAATAGGAGGCATCCCATTGAGAGCTCCAAATACCAACTCTGAAACCATTCCGGTAAAATATGTGCGGAATATAAAGGGGTACAGTTACATGAAGGATATACAACGACGTGGACCTGCGCATAAAATTGTCTGTCCCTGTAGGTGGTACCCATTACTTTAAAATACTTTAACTTTAATCAATTCCGTTAGAAATGTGACACAAAATATCAAATTACCAAATAGTTGGAGATATAGTTCCACGAGGGCTGTGTGAAGACGTAGACCTGTATAGACAATTTCCTGTCGAAGAAGATGGTACCTATTGTAAACATCAAATACCAACTTTGAACCAAAAATTCTGTTGAATAATGTGGTTAAAAAATTAATACTAAATATCGGCAGGTAACGCCTTATGGGGCCTATAAAAAACTCGGACCTACATGGCTTTTAATTTTTTTGCAAGCATGTTTTCAATACAAAAATTTCTACAGAAAAATTTCTACATTTGAGTAAACGTACATGGCTAAATCGATATAGAATCTTTCGCTGATCTATATTCTCTGTAAACCCCACAAATGCTTATCTCG